TGTGCTGTCAATGCCCCAGCTCCAAATGGAGCTTAGGCCAGCTCCGTTTTGACCGCACTATTTACTCCGCTAATTAATTCAAGCTAAGATAAGCTGAAAAGCGGATGAGTCACTGAGCTGGCGGGGGAGACGACGACGTGCGGATAACGAGCGGGACAACAGATAGATGTGAATGAACTTGGCGGCGCGCCTGTGTGGGTGAGTAGCACGCGTCACAGTACAACAATTAAAAGGGGGAAACACAAAAGAGTATTTGCAAGGAAGCAAACTTAAAGCGGGGAGGTACGCAAAAAAATAGCAAATTAATCAATCGCAACGACATCCGAGGAACACGCAACTAACGCACACAGGTGTCTCGGTGTCCAGCGATTCACCTGCCCGACGAGCACTGCGTCTATACTTACGTTCCGTTTATTTATAACGAACAATCGTCCGCCAATCCTTATATTTAATTTATATGTAAATATTGCACTTAATCTTAAATTAGTTTATGCTCCGGCCGCACTTGTGCACTCTTTGTGTCTTCACATGTCGTTCGACTGTCGCACGCACGGAGGAAAACACGTCGAGAATCAACAATAATACAAAAATAATGCACAATGCAAGTGCAGCTGATCCACTAGTTTATGCGACGTGATTTAAATTTGCTGTTTTACGACTAGAATCCCTGAGCACCTGCCAGGAAATGCAGGCAAAAGCAATAAGCTACGACTGGTCACACTGTATCGATAGTTTTGCCGTTTAAGTGTTGGAAAGTTCTTCAGAGAATAAGGAAGAACGAGAAGGCAAAGGAAAAAGGCGAAACCATTCGCCGCGAAAAACACCAAAGGAGAAAGCATTATACAGTGAGTATCGCCTATAACTACTTATTCCAAAAGCTACTAATAAAAATTCTTTGCAGCAGACTAAGTTATGTTAAAACATATTTTTTATTTTGGTAATCTGTAATTACTGCGAACCTGAGTTGTCATAGGCAATTTCTACTGTACTGATTTCGCAAAATCCAACAAGGTATTCGCCGCGAAAAAGAGCAGGCATTCTCCCTGCCGCCAGGTAATTTTCCGCTAGCCACTTGCGACCACACTGCACGGTGAAAAGGAAAAAGATTATTAATTTTAATACGTTTTCCCGCAGCAAATAATAGGTAATTATCAGCGAGCATTGGCGCTCGGTCGCGTCCCCTAATATAAAAACACCATCCCCCAAACTCTGCAGCCCGCGAAGTACGGCAGCACGAACAGAAGACGAACGCAGGCGAAAGTTGAAAAGAGTGACGACGCAAGCAAGCAACGACGAAGCAACAAAAAGAAAATCGGCGACGTATACGTTCAACTTCGACAGAATTAAGGTAGGCATTTTGAATTTCCCAGCTCTGCTGCTGGAGATTGACTTTTCAGTGAGTGTGAAAATCGCCAAGTGAATTTCGGCAACGAATTTAAAGGGAAAAGAAGGGAAAAAGTTGCGCGAGGAAAACAAAATGTCCGCGACCCTGGCGGCGGAGCTGGCGTCGGCGACGCTCGGCATCAGCGTGGAGCTGCAGCGAGAATGTGATTTAACCAACTTGACGCTAATCTAGCTTTCGTACCTTCTTTTTCGTTGTCGGCTAACCCCTCCCCCGTCCGCAGTGTTCGCCGAATCCAACGCCGCCACCGCAATGTCATGCCGCGCCCCCTTCCAGCCCGACGACCAGTATGAGCAGCTGCGCCGACCCAACGCTAGCGGCGGATCCGTGTCCGTGGCCGGTGTTATGCCGGCCGGAGCCGGTTTACCGCTAGATCAGCAGGCCCATCTATTCAACGATTACGGAGCCGCTGCAGCCGTCGCCGCCCAGGGCTATGCCCAGGCCCAGGACTACGCCGCTGGCCCGGCTGTAGCCGGCTATCAGCACCAGGTGCAGGCCCAAGGCCTTCCCGATCAGTTCAAGTTGTCGGCCTCGGCCTCTATTTTTGTGCCCCGAGGAGCTGGTCCGCCGCCGCAGCAGCAGCAGCAGCACCAGCCGCGCCATCAGCAATACCAGGGACAGGGCGGAGGAGCAGCCCCCTATGCACAGCAGCAGCGCTATATGAACGGCTATAAGCATCATCATCAGCAGCAGCAGCACCACCAGCATCAGCAGCACTACAACCATCACCACAATCAGCATCAGCAGAAGTTCAACAACGACATGCAGAAGCTATCGAATTCCGTGCAGAACCGCCTGCACCTCAACAACCAGCAGCAGGGCTCGGGCAACTACTACCAGCAGCAGCAGCAGCAGGTACACCAACAGAACACACACCACCACCACCAACAACAACACCAGCAGCAGCAACAGCCACACAACCAACACGCCAAGTTCCAACGGCATGCCCACTTGAATAACTCATTCCAACAAATCGCACAGCAGAATCACCACCACCACCAGCAGCACAGCCACCAGCAGCAGCAGTATTTCCAGAACCAACAGCAGCAGCAACAGCAGCCATCCACTTCGTCCGCAGCGGCCTCCTCGTCGTCCTCGAACTCATCGCAGCCAGACATGGCCACAATTGCATTGGAGTATCTCGATACAGTCATACATTGCCTTAACCAGGTGAGAAACATAATATAAACGCTTACAGGTGACGTTGCACATCTGAAAATCTCAAGAGTGTACCTTAGCAAAAGGGGGAGACTCTTATTTCATGTATTAAATATCAAATACCTAGTATTATATGTTTGCACAGCTGGATCTGGCAGCTTTTAAGGCTGGATACCGAAATTGGGGTCACAAACTTATATAAAGTACAAACATAACAAGAGTATTTCAAGTTCATCTATAAAATAATAAGAGATAAGGAAAAAATAGGGCCTTTTCTTTTTAGAAATATAATCTGTAATTTCTGTTTTTAATAGGCCAAACACAAAGAAGTTAAATATATTTTATTTCAAGTTTTTTAATAGTTTACTAATAAATTATATTAAATACATTTTAATGCTCTTCCCCCTCCTAGAATCCGGGCCAATTTGATACCATTGCTTCACGCTTCCTGACCATTTTCGACGGCATGGAGAACAACCAGTTCGTCCTCTCCATTGCCATGGAGGACATCTTTGAGAAGTCCATTGAGCAACCGAACTTCCGTTACATGGGCGCCAAGCTGTACAACCTGCTGCACATGCTCAACCCGAAACCGGACTCTCTGTTCCACACGTTGCTGAAGTGCAAGCTGGACTACCACCAGGAGGAGGTCACCAAGTACATGCGCTCCAATGAGCAGCAGAAGGTGCGCGAGACGGCCCTCTTCCTCGCCGAACTGTATATGCAGTTGCGCGGGGAGGACGACTCCCGTCTCCAGTTGATTGCGGTGAACATTGTCTACTCGCTGGGCAAGCTACTGCTGAGCGAGAGCAACGACAACGTTCGCTGCCTGTGCCAGACCCTCAAGCTGGCTGGCTACGATCTAACGGCCGACTGCCCGAAGGACATGCAGGAGATTATCACAGCTTTGCAGGCCATTGAGCTCAAGTCCCCGGGCAAATACGCCATGGCAGCCAGCGTGATTGCCTTGCAGCAGAACAACTGGGGCAGGAAGGTGTCCAATGCCTTGGGCGGCGACGAAGATACCGTGGCGGAGCCGCCGCGCCTCAGCGATGAGCCAGTGTTCTATGGGCCCGATGGCCGTGAACTGACCGCCGAGGAGACCGACTTTCTGGCCGCCGAAGATGATACCGGCAGCGATGGCGAGGATTTCGATGGAGATGGCGGCGAACTGGACCTGGATGCGGAGATGGACGAGGAGACAGAGCGCGCCTACAAGGAGTTCTGCAAGCAGGGCAAGCAGAAGACCTAGGCTGTGGACGACGGCGTCGACGACTGTTGTTGTGTAGCGCTAATGGTAACGGGGGCGTGGCAGGTGACACAGGATAGGGTAGGAGTTTCGATGCGATGAGATTAAATGGGAGAGAGATAAGAGAAAAGGAGAGAAGTTGAGGGAGAAGAGAAGAGAGACGAGTGTGGTGGGAGCATTTCCATACAAATTCTCGGTTGTAGAATCGATGATTGCAGTTGCTTGGTTCAGAACCAGTTGTGATTATCTTTTTAAATTATTGATAGCAAATTGTTTGTGATATCTTCGTGTTTCATGCACCACACACATCCATATACATATACAGCATATAATATGACATGTGTTTTTGACTATGTTCTGACGCTTTTTTGTGTGATACGCCCGTTTGTATCTGTATATCTCTAATAACTAACTAACTTTACTCTCTGCCAAGTTCATTCATCAGCTTTTGTCTTTATTTCTTTTTTGTATACTTTTGTCTAACATCTTCATTGATCAATTTTAGCAAGCCAAGCGCCAGGATTTTAACTTTCCCGTTTGTAAAGCAGCAATTTAAACAGCAATAAAAATAATTGTAGAACCCCACTGCCACGCCGATCCGAACCGCTCGCCCGCTTACACCCACAGACGGCAGACAGACGGACACGGAGCTGCACTCAAAGACTCGTACTCATATGCGCACCCACAAACACACTCATAGAACGGCAGATGAATAAAAAACAAAACCGCAAATTTCACATTCAATTAACAACATTCTCTTGATCATACCAATCGAAAAACGAAAAAATAAGAAAACAAACAGCAGCCACGCCTAATTTTTAAATAATTGTAATTAATGTTAACGAAAACCATGATTTAATTATAAATAAAATTTATCGAATTGCGTTTAAAACAAGTTCCAGTTAAAGGACTTTATTTTATTTTTAAAATTTACTCTTAGTTGGGTTAAATTTGAAGCAGATATGATTTTAAATATTATAATAAAAATTATGTTTTTTTTTCTAGATTTTGCTAGAATTTTATGCAATGCTGGCTGCCATTATTTTATTTCCCTAGGGAGATAATACAAATTTATATAGTTAATTTAAAATACCAAGTATTTAAAGCTTTTCACAAAACGGTCTCACTGCAAAACAAAATCGATTATACGTAGTCGATAACAAAAACATAGTATTTGTGTTTTTAGTGTGACCAACGGGCACCTTCGTTTTTGGTGAATTTTTAGTAATAATGATGAGTTTTATTCAAGAAGTTAGTTAGTTTACTCGCGCTGTAATGTGATAAAAAACGTCGGACAAAGGCTGGCTCGCAGTGAATTCAATGCGCAAATGAACGGCGAAAAGTGTCTGGGGCGCAAAGACCTTGAAACGAAATTGGAGACCAAAACAAAAGTGACGTCATGATGGTGCTATTTATGTATGTACATAAGTTTTGCTAAATATTCGCCAGTGAGCGAGGCAGAGACACAAACACACGCACGCGGACATTAATAGACAAAAACAAAATGCTAGCAATGGGCTGTAATGCTCGCGAGTATAAATAATACTTGAGAGGCGAAATCAGGGAAATCAAGAAAGGCGACAAAGAAAGCAGTGACAACTAAAGGTCACCAGCCAGGCAGCGTAAAAGGCAAAACAAATACCAATACAAAGGAAGAACGAATTGCGTGCGCGCGGGTGTGTGTGTGTGTATGTGTATGTGCGTGCGTATTTTTTTGGTAATATTTTGCAGACAACAAAAAAGAAAAGTGAATTTAACTCAATAAAAAGAAATATTTATAAACCGTAAATAGAATGTGTTCCAAAGAATTCACTCTTGGTTTCGTTGAAAACACTTCAACCTGTCAGTTCACTTGCAATCGCACTTGATTTGTGCATCGCTTGCATTTTGTGTTTTCTTTTTCCGACTTGTGAATGAACCTTGCAATGACCCAGAAATATGTATTTTCTAAAGCATACAGCCAGGCGCTTATATAGTCTCCCGATCAATTGCAGAAGAACAAGAGCTGACGACGGCACACGCAGAATGATTTAAGTCACCAAAAATCGGAGGAGAACAGAAACACTCAACGACAACGACTAGGACCGGAACGGGTCTAATTTTTATACAAACCCCAAAAAAATAGATATACAGAAAAGCCGTAATCACAGAGCCACCTGCGACGATCATCCGCACCCGCTACAATGGCCAGTGTCTGGAAGAGATTGCAGCGCAACTTTAAGCGGGCGGCCAAATTCCAGTTCACCGCCTCGTACCACGATCTGCATCTGGAAACCACCGCCAAGTGGTAAGTAGCACTGCCGGCTGCTCCACATTAAAGTGGATTAATGCGTCCGCCAGGGAGGGAATCCGGTGAACTCGAGGGGGGCGGCGGCATTACTGGGTGGGGGTTGGGTTTAAGTGCTTTTCAATTGGAACACGAACTAGTCAGTCGGCGACTGAAGGGGTTAGATTTTCCGTTGGCTTTCTATCACTGATTAAATAGAAAAGATACATTTAACGAATTTTGTGGGAATTTCGATAAGGGTTTCCTGAGTTATAGACTGTTAAAGTAAGCAATAATGATAAGACTGTGTTTACAAATCATATTTTGTCTTCATATGCACTGAAATAAGAGTTTACCAGGTCTTAATTGTAAAAATGTTCTTAGTTTGTTTTATCGAGCGTACACCGTATTTTTCGTAATAATAATAACAGGCTTAATAGGTAGTTATTAGGGCCAACTATTCCCCATTTCTTGGCTATTTTTCTTGGTGATTACTACGCTAAACTTTTGATTCAATCAATAGATTACCTAATAACTATTTATTAAAACAAACTCGAATGATTATAGACATTTTCTCTGTATACCAAAGCAATTTCTCGTGTTTCCCCAAGTACTTACTATACATTTCATGCTTTCAAACCAATCAATTTCGCCAATTGAAAGGGTTGTCAGCTAGAGCATACAAATGTCTCCTAGAAAATATACATATCGATTTCCCCTTTTATTTTCCATATCTTAAACTGATAAGTTTATTTACGAGTTGACCTCCTCTTCCTGTTGACATGAAATGTTTAACCCAGACTCTTCAGTTTAATAAACATTCGTCACATATGTATATATATATGCTTTTATCAACTGAAAGGCCCCCACATATATCATTGTGCCTCATCCGGTCCTCAGAAATTGTTATTCATGGTCTTTTAAGCATACATTTAAATGCAATTTTAATAATGTTCTCTGTAAGAGTTAAAAATCCCCTTCAGACTATAAATAATAATCACAATTGTTTGTTTCCAGGCGACCGTCGAACCTCTCGATAGTATGGACACGAAGATCTAGAAGAGTGGCCAGTGCTCCGTTGCCATGGGAGCCGGATATGATGAATCCATTGGTGGGAAATATATCCTGGCCTGTGCCCGACAATCATACCATATCGGTAACCCTGTTCAAGGATCCCCGCACACACGAGCTGGAGGACAAGGACTGGACGTTTGTCATCGAAGATGTAAGTGCTCTTAGCATCCGAATGGATATTCTTTACCAGATGATCCTATCGTTGCCCAGGTTACCCCTATGGGTAAGAAACGTGTGCTGGCCAATGCCAGTATCAATATGAGAAAGTATGCCAGCATAGAATCCACTCAGCAGAGCTTTACATTGAGTTTAAAGCCCGTTTCGAAGAAGATTACAGCTGCCAGCTTGGAACTCACGATAAGCTGTGTATTTTTAAGGGAGGGCAAGGCAACGTGAGTATATTCACTTTAATAAAATTTCTTAAAATATGTTATATGACTGTGTAAATCCCTTTCCAGAGATGAGGACATGCAGAGCGTTGTCTCCATGATGTCCGTAAATAACAACTGTGATGTGGCGCCCTTGGACGACTTGGAGGATATTCCAGACTTGGAGAATTTTAGTGAAATTACAGACAATTTTTATGACTTTACCCAGCAATTGGACCAGATGACAACGAGCCTCAATGGCTGCATTGATGTGGCCACCCCCCTAAGTGGTAAGACAGCTTCCTGTTCACTTCTTCACTTGTTTTATGTACTAAATTCGATGTATCTGTATCTGTTAGTATGTAAAAATGGACTAGAGCGTATATATATTAGGTATATCAAGTGCTTGGCATAACTACAAGGGACTTGTAGCCCACACACTATCCCTTTTGGTAATGAAAAGCACTCTGGTTAAGTATGTATGTTGAAACCTCAGTAAATACTATAGATCTCAAAAAACATGATCTGCATGATCTTATTAGATTAGCTCTATGAATATATTTTGTACAGACATTTCTCTTTGGACTCAAAACAACAAACAATATATTGTTTCTTTCTATCTATATCCCATCAACATCACGTATCTTGAATGATTTCCTGCCACTTGTAACTTGTGCGTAAACTGTAACATTGTACATTTTCCTTTTTCTTTTTCTTGTTTTGTTTTTCGTTTCATTCGTTCGTTATGTAGTACCTTCGTTATCTGAAGACCCCACTCCCTTGGCCGAGTCCTTTAATCAATTGCATTTTGAACTAGACGGCGATGGCGAACGGGGAGCCACGAACAAGTTAGACTTGCCCACCACAACAGCAGCAGCATCCGGTGGTTCTAGCGGGGCCAGTGGTAGCGCTGACGAGTCCCTGAAAACTCCCAACGGAGTGCAGGCTGTGGATAGCACGCCCATCAAGTCGCCGGGCGAGGCGAAGCAGCAGAAACAGACCCCTGGCGAGGGCTTGGGTTTGAAGACAAACGAGGCCTTTGCCAAGCTACTCACCTCAACACCGCTGGAACCCAAAGTCAGCAAGGATGAACCGAAGCAAATGAAGAAGAGGGCTTTGTACTTTACCGAAAAGGAAGATAAGAACGAGTTCAAAGAGGAAACTCGCAAGGAGGAGACTACCAAGAGTCTGGGGAACAACAGCACGGTGACAAAGGAGGATACCATGGAGAAGAGCAATACTCCGTCTGTGGTGACTCCCAAGCGGCCTGAGCTTCAACCTTTGAACTTGAAGAAGAGCTACGAACTCTCGCCAATTCCTGTAGTCGCACCTGCACCCGCACCCGCGCCCGCTCCCGCTCCCGTGATAAACGATTCAATGCGATCACAGACCGGAGCTAATGCCTCAAACAACAGCCTGAAACCGGTGGAGAAGATTGTGCTGAAGGAGAACACGCCCGGCCAGGATCTGCTGGAATGGTGCAAGGAAGTAACCAAAGACTATCCCAATGTTAAGGTCACCAATCTGACAACTAGCTGGCGCAACGGCATGGCCTTCTGCGCTATTATTCATCACTTTGTGCCGGAGCTAATGTGAGTGAATCAAATTTGTTTTGTAAGCTTTTGCTAATTACTCTCCCTATTTGCAGTGACATGTCCAAACTGAGTGCCCACGAGGTGGTTGGCAATTGTCGGATTGCCTTCGATGCGGCAGAATCCCTTGGTATTCCTCGTGTGATTGAACCTAGGGACATGAATCTGCTGACAGTGCCCGACAAGCTGGCCGTAATGACCTATTTGCATCAGTTGAGGGCGCATTTCACAGGCAAACAGCTGCAAATTGAACAAATAGGTACGAAAAAAACAAGAGAGAGAGTCTATATTTTTCACACAAGCTAACTATCTGTTTTGCATTCAGGCTCCACGGCTGACGAGTCTAGCTATGTGATTGGCAACTACAAGTCTGATAACTTGTCGCAGAGTCGCTTGAACTTCTCGCACCTGAAGACACAGCTGCTGCATCAGAACTCCTTTGACGATGAGATTAACGGGCTGAACAAATCGGATCAGTTGTCGCCGACCAGCAAAAAGGATGTAAAGAATCTGATTCTTTACAACTCGAAGAACATTTTGGACAAGGTGCTGTCGCCCGCCAAGGATAAGAATTCGATCAATGCCTCGCAGCATGCCAACCAGTCGTCGGTGCAAACGCCGCCGCCGCCGCAGGAGGAACCCTTTGATGATGTCCCACCAACGGGTGGCAAGGAGAACAGCTCTCTATCCGTCCTAGATGCCCAGGCGGCCAGTGTGAGTAGAAAGCCAAGGGTGAGCCCTTGTAAACTTGTTACGTTGCAGTTTTCCATTGAGTTGCTGCTTTGCCATTATCCTTAGCTTACACTTTGCAGTTGATTTCCTTGAAGCTCTCTTCAGTTTGTACATATTTTAGTTTATTTCGTTTTTTGCTTTACCTTTTTGGTTTGTTTTGTAGCGAATTGTAACGCGCCACAAGCTGATGAGCGAAAAAGCCAAGCTGCTGAGAGAAAAGTTAAAGCTTTGCAATAATCCCAGCGATGCGAACGAAGTAAGTAGCTTAATGCCAGCCAAAGTCACAGTTTTCTGGACGCAGATCAGCTTAACTTGAGCATGTTATTGTTTTCTATTTGTTTTATTGTTGCTTAAGTATACAAATATTTCGGCGGGTAACTAGGCTATCAGTGATTGTTCTTTTTGTACCAAAGAATTTTAAGTAAATTAAGGGGGAGGTAGTTAAGGTTAATACGGACCATAAAAAACTATAAGAAACTAGTAAATTCGTATAAAAACATTCTTAAGTAATTAAATCTTTTGTTTAGTTCCTCATTTACAGGGATTTTAGTTTCTTTGTTTTGATATTATTTACTTGATTCCATCTGTTGCTTACCGTATCGATTTCTTTTAAACGATCCCTGGCAGTTTCTAAGAAACACGCACTCTATTGTTCTTTTCCATTTGTATACTTTTGTAATGTAAAAGTTGGTATATAAAAGTTGCCAAGTATAAAGTCAATCAGTTGTAAAGATGATTTCTCTCACGCAGGAGGAGCGACAGCAAAGGCTGCGGGAACAGGCTCGTCGCCTGATCCTGGAGACGCGTGTTAAGAGTGGCGGCGGCTCCATTGAGAGTCCCACCAGCCCCACCAAGCCCAAGCGGTTTAATTTCTCGCCGGAGCGGACCATTTCGCCGATCCACAATGGAGCCGATGAGTTCTTTGCGGAGCACGGAAAGAAGCTGGAGGCCAAGGAACAGCCGGGCAGTCCTAGTCATAGGTTAAGTGATCCCAAGGGCCTGGGTGTCAAGGGCAGTCCCCTGCAGTCCTTTAACGCGATCGTAGACCGCATCTCACCAAAGAACGAAAAGAGGGTGAGCTGGGATACATTTGCTTCCTGCTAAATAGACACTTAATCTCTGCGTTTCCTGGCAGGGCGACAAGCTGTCCTACATCGAGTCGGAGCTGGAGGCCTTGGAGCGGGAACAGGAAGCAATTGACCAGAAGGCCAGCAGTCTGGAGGCCAAGCTGCGCGCCGTGATGGGCGGCAATCCAAGTAATAATCGTCGCAGTAGAGGCGGCGGCAATCCGTTCCTTAGGCTAATCCGAAATAGTATTGGTGGTGGTGATGTGATACGAATCAAGCTGCTCGACTCGGACGACGAGAGTCTGTTTGGTGGTGGTGGTGGTGAAGGTGCCGGTAGTGGTGGCGGTGGCAGCGAGGACGACGACGATGACGAGGCCACGTCCAGCGACAGTGTCAGCAACTCTGGCGATGAATTGCACATTGCGCGACTGCGTTCTCGCCACCGCCCGCGACCCCGACCCCGCTCCCAGTCGTGTTTTGTGAATGTGAACAAGGGCCATGGCCATCCATCGAACATGACCGCGCCCATTGCTCATCTGCGCCCGCATCATGTGCATCATGTTGTGCCCTATACCCACATGCTAGATAGTTCCCCGTCGGCGGTCTCCTCGCAGCAGTCCTCCTGTGATAACCTGCCCGTGTGCAGCGACGATGATGATGTCCTGGCATTGGCGGCCACCGGTCAAGCGGCCTCCCAGCGGCGGCAGCAGGATCGCCACCGGCGACGCCGTCACCGGCAGGATCGGCGGCGCTCCTCCCGTTTATGTCACAGTCCAGCTCATGGTGGTAAAGTGCGGCCCATCCCCACATGCTTGAATCATTGAGCTACTCTACCCAATCGCTTCTGCCGAGCACTGCCACGCCTTGCCGTTTGAGGCTGCTAGATCAACCAACCGACCGCCCGCCTGCCTGCCTGTCCGCCCGCTCAACCGCATCCACTCGCTCTCATTCCTCGTGCCGTTTGTTTGTTATATTTAATGTCTGTGTTTGCTTGTTAATATCTTGGCCGGTGTGTGTCTAACTTCGTTCCTGGACTTGTCTCTAACTGTCCCCGGATAATGCTCACTAATCGCACAGAGTCGTCCACACTGTGCGGCAGCTTTTGAAACCGCCAAAGGACGCAGCCTTCGTAGACTATAAGCTAAACACTACTTAATTTAAGCTTAGTAATTCACAGAATCAAACAGAATAAGCATGGTTGCTGCTAGATTATATTAACAAGCGATACATAAACCCATTCACAGAGACCGAGGAAACGGAGGAGCAACTCCTATCGCAATGGTTCACGCTGGTCAATAAGAAGAACGCACTCCTACGCCGGCAAATGCAGCTGAACATTCTGTAAGTAGTCTTTCTTATTACCTTTACTATATGTTTAGGGTCATATCTGGTTTTTGGGTTTCTTAGCGAGCAAGAGAAAGACCTGGAGCGAAAGCACACTATGCTGAATCAGGAGCTGAGGGCAGCGCAATCCGTGGAGGACTGGCGCAAGACGGAGGTGCAGCGCGAAAAGGAGCGGCTGCTGCTTGAGGAGCTAATGACGATTGTCGACAAAAGGGACCAGTTGGTACAGCATCTGCACAACCAGGAGATAGCGTAAGTCGTCAATATAAAAATCATAAAAATTCGTAATATAAAATTCATCCCGGAAATGGATAGATGAACAAGGATTCCCAGGATATTGTCCATTTTATTCCAAGTTGATTCTAAGTGCTTAATTTTTTCATTCAACAATTTTTCCCATAACTAAGAATAATAATAATCTGATAATAATCCTCCATACCTAACTAAATCCTTTAATTTTTACTTCCAGGATCGAGGACGATCAAGAAATAGCCAGGGAACTGGAACAGGTCGACATCAGTGGCGGCAAAGACAAATGTGTTCTTCAATAGAAATCGAAATTAACCAAAACCTGACTGGAGATTATACTTACAAACACACACACACTCACTTATCTATGTAACTAGTTAGATAACAACTATGTATGTTCGTGGTCGCGTGGTTTTTGTGGTTCAGTGTCGCTTATGCAATAGTTATATCCAACGACAACACATTACTTGGACCACTCTCGGTATGGTTTAAAAGAAAAACAACAAAGAACACTGTGAAACAAAAGAGTAAAAAGGTAAATTGCTTTTGTATTTAAGCAAAGAAAATTCAAAAAACAAATAAGAACAAAACGTCCGTTAGTAAACTAAGTAAAAAAAAACCAATAACAGGGACAGTTTATGACAACCATCAGATATTGCAAATTTTTTCTAGTTAATTTTGTGTAAATTCAGTTCGTTTCTTGTTTTTGTGTTTTTGTGCCATGTCGAAAATAAATCCTGAGCCCAACATCTGACGACAGAAAGGAATTGTGGAGGCAATTTAACGATAGTTTGTACTTTTAGCATTTATCCCACACCCCCCCACACACACACAGTACTAGAAAACGCTTCATCCAAAAATACACATACTATATATATATATATATTTATGATCCTACCTTTTTGTGCAAAAGAGAACCTATCTTACCATTCTTAATTTAGTCTCTTACGTACGATGTTTGCTCTAAGTTAAGACAAAGCGCTTTAATCATATAATTTAAAGGTGGCTTATATACTTATACAAATAAACAAATTTTAATTTACTTTTGCCCCCGGCGAATGTATAAAGAACTGTTCAAAACCCAAGAGAAACCCCTAGCTAATAAAGCAAAAACAATGCTGATCAAAATCGAAAGCGTTGAATGAATAAACCCAACAATAATTGTGAATCAACGTCTTATCTGTTGTTTGGTTTTTGTGGGGGCTCTTCTGAGAATTAATGATTGTTAATCATAAATAAACATTTCCCTTTGATCTCTGGTTTCTTTGTTTGGTTTTAAGTGGAACACTGAGATTGCGCTCTTTCTTTCTACCAGGGATTGCAAATACAACTTATAAGTAAACATTTAAAATACAAATTATACAAGATAAGAAATTATATTAGCGAAAAGTCTAACTCGGAAACCGTAATAATTTTCTTTAATGATAATAGAAAAAATAATAAATTGAATTGCATTTATGAAAAACCCCATAAATAAGACCTGTTTTGGGAACCCCCTTCATTGATGAACATAAAATGAGTCACAGTTTGCTTCGAGGTCTAATCATTTATTTATTCGATCAACAGGTTTACTTCAAAGTCTCAAAAAATTAATTTGTCTAATACAAACATGATAATCAACTTTAAAAGAATCTCTTCTTAATTGACTGAGAATATACATACATATTATGATATATATTTTTAGGTACTTTATAAGATACTTGGATCACTTGAGAATTGCTTTTCTTGATTGCTTAATTAGCTGAGATTCCATCACATTGTACTTGATATTATTTACGTGTCACCTTTGCTCCTTCGACCACAACGTTTCTTATATTTACTCTACATTGGAATAGAAATCAATTACTATTTTAAAATTAAATGACGTCACGAGGGCGGCGGCTCTACCACTGCTCTAGTTCAGCGTTATAAAACTACAAAAGAAGCGAAATCAAAGTTGAAAATACGGCACAACTACAAGCACAATAAAAGCAAATGTAAAACTAACACTGGGAGCAGAGGTCCCCGGGGAAGCGGCCCCATGGGTCATGTCGTGCAGCTCCTCGTCGGTGTAGGTCTGATTGGATGTCTCAACCTTGTAGCTGAACGTCGCCGATACGGGTCTGTGGTCAGAGAGCGTGTAGTCCGTATGGGACTGATAAGACAGCTGGGTGGCGCTCAGGGTAACGCCCGGATAAACGTTATTCTGCACGCGATGCAGGATCCTATCGCACCAGGCCGGTCGTCGCTTCAAGTCGTAATCATTGGTGCCCTCGACGAACTGCAATTAATGATATTTATGAGTACTTTAGACAAGGGGCATCGAGTTCCCTTTTATTTCTTCAGATAATAACCTTGAAAGTGGGCGCAAAGTTGGGCTGCTGCTCCTCCAGCAGGCTAAAGGCGTTGCCCTTTTCCCTTAGCAGGTTCAGTTGGTCCAGCTTGAGCAGATCAGCGTACCGCATGTTCTCCACATCCGTGCGCACATCCCAGGCCGACATGTCGCCAGAGAGACGGAAATTGAGATCGCCAAACCAGAAGACAAAGTCGTGATCGAAGATCCGGGGATAACCCTGGGCGTGGTACTTGTGATTGTCCACTATCTGGTGATAGTCCTCGATGCGCTCCTTCAGCTTGTCATCGTGGGCCGCCAGGTGGGAACAGACAAAGACGGCTCCGGTGCCATACAGCGACAGCCGGATGCTCACCGCGCCCTTGTTGCCCCACAAACCGCCCAGTCCCGTGCGCGTGGCCTCCGTCTCGATGTTTTTCATATGCGGAACGTGCTTGTGATGGGCAAACATAGTTATGAGGATGCCCTGCAGCTGTTTGGCCTCCACCTTGACGAACTGGTGTTCCTGCAGGGCGCCAGCGATCTTCAGTACCCACGGATCGTCCTGGAAAATGTTTAGCACCTGCTTGGTGCTCACTTCCTGCATGCCAATCACGTAGATGTCGGGCAGTTGGTTGTCCGGACAGGTGGTCGTTCCATTCAGGGCCAGCAGAGAGTTCAATTGCTGCTCCCGCGGAGAGTGGGTGCCCACATTCCAGGTCAGAAGGAAGATGCACAGATCTGCGATCACAGTAGTAGCCATTTTCGCAATGGCTAATTATCTATGATTAATGCTCCGGATCACAAGGCACGACAATAACGATGAGTTCACGGGCATCCAAAACAGGTTTTCAACCTGGCAGCATCCAATGACACGGAGAAGAGCCTTTCACACACTACTTTCATTTATGTAAACAGCGGATGTGTCAGCATTAGACTAATTAATTGGATTAAAACTGGTGGTTTGCGGAATTATTTTTAGAATTGTCAGCCGTTCGTTATTTCTGTGTTTTTGTTACGTTTCGTTTCGTTTTGTTGTTTTATTTCCGTTGCGTCCGCCCAGTGTGCCTGTGGCGCGACCTTTAAATATTACCCAACAATGTGACCATAGAAGCAAAGAAAAGATATCTTACAAAAATCAAAGTAGTGAAATAATGTTTAAAATAATAATAATTAAACATTTATAAATCATATTATTACAATTATTTTTTGATTAATTTAACAAACAGTTTAATAAATTAATTAAAATACAAATATAATAATATTTAGCAAAGTTACAAACCCTGGGATATTGGCATTGCCAGCCCTGTGTAATTTTTTGTGATGTGTGCACACTGGTTCTAGGATTTGCATGAAAATAAACAAAATTAGTTTTAATATTTTTTACGTGCCGTTCAAGCCCAATTTAAGGAATGGCCAACAGCTACGACATACCCAGTTGGTGGGTAAACTAGAGAGCTATCTTTTTCGCCCACACACTCAGCAATGGTTGCTCTTTTTTAGGGCCGGCAAACCGCCCACTGGTCTGCACTTGGATGTCCTGAAGGATGAGAAATTAGTCCAGAAACTGATGGTGGATGAGAAAAGATGCTATTTATTCGGACGCAACAGCCAGATGAACGACTTCTGCATAGACCACGCCTCCTGCTCGCGCGTCCATGCGGCCTTCGTCTACCACAAGCACCTAAACATAGCCTACCTCGTAGATCTTGGATCCAGTATGTAGTGGAGGAAGGAGATTAATCTCCCTAAGGATTAACACGTTTATTGTGTTCCTTCAGCTCATGGCACCTTTATTGGCACGTTGCGGCTGGAGGCCCACAAGCCCACGCAGCTGCAAATCAACAGCACCTTCCACTTTGGAGCCTCCACCAGGAACTATATACTCAGGGAGCGGCCCTCGGGACACCATAGTAACATTATGGAGGACCTCCCGCTTAGCGAGACCAGCGATGGAGCTCTTCTTGGCTTGCCCGAGAGCCAAACCGAACTGGATGTAAGTTGAAGATGTCTAAAAGTAAGATTGTTTCAAAGAAAATAATTATAAGAGCTCAGGTATTTGTTGGGTAAGGCTATAGTAAGGTAAAGTTGGAGTGTAGGCAAGAGAACGCTTTACTTTATATTCATTGTAGAAGAAATTCTCTTTCCAAAGAGGGAAACAGTTACAATTACTCGCTACCTTAAAAACCTCTCGCTACTTTAGCTACAGGTTCAATCTATTCTTGTTATTTTCATTATTTTTCAAATAGCTCTCGACTTTCAGCGCTTTGTAAACTAATAAACCACTTAATCGCCTCAGAATCTCACCGAGTACAATACAGCTCACAACCGACGCATCTCAATGCTGGGAATTGATGACGACACCAATATGCGCAAGCAAAATGCCTTGAAACAGGGTCGTCGCAGTCGAAATGTCACGTTCAACGACGAGGAAATCATCATCAATCCGGAGGATGTGGATCCTAATGTGGGGCGCTTTAGGAATCTGGTGCAGACGACTGTGGTGCCGGCCAAACGGGCTCGCTTTGATGTCAACCACATGGGCATCCATTCGGGTAGCAGCCTGGCTAGTGCCAATGCCGCCCACGTGCACCAGCTGTTCCAGCAGAGTCTGGCGGACATGAAGCACCAACACCAGCACAACAGGGAAATGCCCCCACCCCATACGGTACCCCATTCTCCAACTAATTCCCTGTACCAAGGCATACCAGCTGAGGCGCATGGAAAGGGTGAACTGGAGCCCATTTCACCGTTGAGCATTGGCTCCAAGTTGGGTCTGCTGCTGCCAAATCCTGCGCCCGAGGTGCTTCCCATCTTCGATGAGGCGCTGGAGCCGACTTCCTCGCTGGCCCAGAAGTTGGCCGTGGCCAATGCAAATGGTAAGGTTTTTAGGAGCTGAAAGCTTGGAATGATTTACCTAATATCTGCGTTCCCTTTCAGTGCGACGCTATGTGGAGGACCCGCACGACTCCAGTGGCGAAGGCGATGCTTTGTGTCCACAGAAAAAGAAATACGCCAAGGAGGCTTGGCCTGGCCGCAAACCCATGCTCGGGCAGCTGTAAAGGTTTCTCATTTAGTTTGGCCATAATTAAGTTCATAGAAAAGTAACAAATTATCAAAGATCCTATTTCAGATTTCATAAGAGTCTTGTATGACTAGGCATCCTCTTGAGCAGTGGTCGGCGGAGCCCTTATTCCGCTTCACTCTGACCACTTTGGGATTTTTCCCACCTCCACAATGTTTCTTCTAACCACTGCTCTAAAGTAACACACATTTATTACAAATTTATTATTTTGTTTTAATAATAAAAGCGACTTTTTTGCAACCTTTAACAACTCACATTTTGCAGCTGTGCGGATATCTGGGAAAAGGTATCACGTCTCGGATGTTCTTAACGCCCGTGACCAGCTGCAGATAACGTTCGAAGCCCATGCCAAAGCCCCCGGTGGGAACTCCTCCGTATTTTCGCAGGTCCACATACCAGGATAGATTCTTTGGCAGCTGTGGATGGGATCTCAACATCTCGGCATCACTTTCGCGCAGGCTTCCGCCACAAAGTTCGCCAACTGACGGCATCAGGAGATCCAGGGCATGGACTACGCTGGGGTTGGAGCGGGAAACTTTCATGTAGAAGGGCTTCTGCTGCGTGGGCCAATCCACGACGAAAACGGGGGCAGCACAGTGGGAGACGAGAAACAGTTCTTGGTCCTTGGAGAAACCCTCTGTCAGACTAATGGGAGTCTTTAGGCTATCTTTATTGTCCTGCAGCACTTTGAGGGCTTCGTCGTAGCTCATTATTATCCAGGGAACTTGCAGCCAAGCTAGATCCGAGGTGGTGTTGGCGTTACGCTGACAAAAATGAAGATCCTCCGAGCTTGTTTCCAGCAATCTATTCGTGATGGACTTTATCAGCTGCTCAATGAACCGTGCCAGCTTCTCCAACTCCTCCAGATGGGCCAGTTCCGCTTCAAACATGTAAAATTCGGCTAAATGCAAGGGCGATTTGGAGTTCTCCGCTCGAAAGGCAGGCGCAAAAGTGTATGTGTTACCCAGGCCATAGGACATGGCCTCCAGGTGCAGCTGACCAGAGACGCTGAGGAAGACCTTGTCATCAAAGTAGCTCTGCTCCGCCGGCACATTTGGCCTTTCCATCTGCTTGAGCAAAGCTGCAGAGTCGGGTTGAACGCGGAACACCTCGCCTGCTCCCTCGCAGTCATTGGTGGTCAACAGCGGGGTATTGATCTGCACGAAATCCAACTCATCCATGTAATCATGGATGGCTTTCTGGGCCTTGTGCCGAACCCTCAACTGAGCGGCGATGTAACTGACGCGAGATCGAAGATGCAGATGCTCGCGGACGTACTCCGGTGGGTGCTTCTGCTTGGGGCTGAAGGGATAGCCCTCCTGCAGGTGTCCATCAGCTGGGGAGAATAATATTTGCAAGATTTATAATATTGCTCCCAAATATCATTCATAGTTACCCAACATTTCCACGCGATCGGCGTGCAACTCAAAGCTTCCATTCGGAGCCACTTGGATTTGGCCCGCCGCCGAGATGACGCTGCCCGGCGCCAGATGCTGGTTCTCCGGAGTCCGCGGCACCACCACCTGGAACCTGTTGCTCGTGGATCCATCGCTAATGTCCAGAAATGTGTTGTTCTTCAGCCGGCGCACGTTCTGGATCCATCCCTTGTTGGATAACAGTTCCCCTCCATTTAGAAAACCAATCGGAATCTACTGAGTTATGGCGCCTACCTGCAGGCTTAGAGAGTCACCTGGCTTGTGGGACTTTGTAATGTGGGCAATGCGTTTAGAGCTGCTGTAAAATCGCCTTAAAATAAGCATTTTTAGTCTAAACTTAAATAATTAGTATGACCCTTTTTGAAAACATTGAAATCGATAGAATTAAGGGTTACCACCATTTTAAAATCATCGATTGGTTCGATTGCCACAACTAGTAACATCTCTAGCATCCGTCATCGTCATAGTAAAATTTGTTTTATTAGTTTTAATGAAATAACCTGAAACATGATGGAATTGGACGCAGAAACGGTGCTTTTTAGCATTTTGGCTTTGGTTGTAATCGAGAATGCGCTGGAAATCTACATATCGCTGCGTCAGGTGGGTTTTCAGAACTGTCTGCGTCGTTTGCCGGCATGTGCGAGCGGGACGGAGACACGTAGGTGGCGAGCACTTTTTATCAAAGGGAAATGATAAATTTAGAGTTCGCCAATGTTAATTGGCATTTAATTTAATGGCGTCCCTTCCCCCCGTATCTCCCTCTCTGTCGGCAGGTGAAAGTCTATCGCAGTGCACTGAAGGTGCCGGCGGAGCTGACGTCACACATGGGCGAGGAGACGTTCCACAAGGCGCGCAAATATGGTTTGGATCAGGAGAACTTTGGGATCTTCAAGGCGGCGGTCATGGACGTGGGCCTGTTTTGCATGGAACTGTACATTGGACTGATTGCCTTGATCTGGCAGCTGTCGGTAGAGGTGGTGGAGCATTTAAATTGGGATTCCAAGAACGAGATCATTGTGAGCTGCGTTTTCGTGCTGATCTCGAACGTGCTGAGCACGTTCAAGGGGCTTCCCTTCAAGATTTACAAGACATTTGTGCTGGAGGAGACACACGGCTTCAATAAGCAGACGGCGCGCTTCTTTGCCTGGGATCAGCTGAAGGGCTTCCTTGTCACCCAGGTCCTTATGATTCCCATCACGGCCGCAATCATCTTTATTGTACAGCGCGGTGGCGACAACTTCTTCATCTGGCTGTGGATATTCACCGGCATCATTTCGCTTGTCCTGCTCACTGTGTATCCGATTTTCATTGCTCCCCTATTCGACAAGTATACGCCGCTGGAGAAGGGCCCCTTGAGGCAGTCCATTGAGGATCTGGCCGCCTCGCTGAAGTTCCCGCTCACCAAGCTCTTTGTGGTGGAAGGATCGAAGCGCTCATCGCACAGTAATGCCTACTTTTACGGACTCTGGAACTCCAAGAGGATCGTGCTCTTCGACACTCTGCTGCTCAACAAGGGCAAAGCCGACGACACTGATCTCTCCGACGATGAGAAGGGCAAGGGCTGCACGGACGAGGAGGTGCTGGCCGTTTTAGGTCACGAGCTGGGCCACTGGAAACTTGGTCATGTGACCAAAAACATAATCATCATGCAGGTCCACTTGTTCCTGATGTTCTTGGTCTTCGGCAATGTATTCAAGTATCCTCCTTTCTACGTGGCCGTGGGATTCGCACCCGGCACTCGCCCCATTTTGGTGGGCTTGCTGGTTGTCTTCACCTACGTTATGGCCCCCTACAATGCCATCATGAACTTTGCCCTGACGATCTTGTCGCGTCGGTTTGAGTATCAGGCCGATGAGTTTGCCTTCAAGCTGGGCTTTGCTGAGCAGTTGGGCCGGGCACTCATCAAACTGAACGTGGACAACTTGGGCTTTCCCGTCTACGACTGGCTGTATTCCACCTGGAACCATTCGCATCCCACTCTGCTCCAGCGGCTGAATCGCCTGAAAGAGCTTGACGAAAGCAAGAAATTGAATTAGGAACGCTTACATCACTACTAAGACCAAAGTTTACACTGTTCCCTTTTATTTTACTTCAAAAAATAAAATCGGGGGACTTAACTCTCAATAAAAACAAAATATTTCAGTGTTTGTAAGACCGTTTTTAAACGTTTATGGGGTGAATAAGTGACTTGGGATGGCTTCAACAACGTCATCGGTTTAAAAACATATTAACAGGTAGTTTGGAATCCATCAATCAGAATCTTGTTTGGTTCTGGTTGGCTTTCAAAATTATAAAAAAAGTATGCCGTATTTGTTAAGCGATAGCCAGAGGAACCCATAATGGCTGCATACTTCTGGGATGATCCCATAATAGTGCTCTACCTTATGATAGCTGTCCTGGTGCTGGACAATTTCTGGGCCGTGTATCTGCTGCTGCGCGAGGTAAGCCGATCCGAAGGCCGGGCACCTGGAATACACAACTCTCTCCCTCCGTCTGTCGCAGCTTAATGTCGCCTACAAAGTAGATAAGGTTCCAGACGTGATCCAGCCGTTTTTGCCGCAGGAGCTCTACGACAGGATGCGTATCTACAAGATACACAAGGGCTGGCTCACGATTGTGAACGCACTGATTACTGTGGTCCTGCTGGGTGTGCTGGAGCTCTACTTTGGTTTCTACGCCTGGCTGTGGGGTGTGGCTGCAAAGTGTGCCCTGGGCGAATGGATGAAGCACGAGGCCTGCGTCTCCGTGATCTTTGTGGTGATGCTAAGTTTTTACCTCTGGCTAAAGAACCTGCCGGCCGTGTTGTACGACAAGATCTGTATAAGAAAATTGCAGCAGAGGCCAAAGCCACCGTGGCTGGTCAGACTCTGCCAATTCACATTCGAACTTATCCTGGGACTGATTTTCACCATTCTAATGGTGGTGGCGCTGGTCTTCACGTTCATAGGCTTGGGGCTGTACGCTCCGCTGGCTCTGTACATCCAAATGGTAGTCATTACGGTCACGTTAATCCTTCTGATACCGATTTTCATCGATCCGTTCATGGGCCGGCGTGTGCAGCTGGAAAATGGAGCTCTTCGCTCGGCACTGGAGGCGCTAACAAGACGTGCCGGTTTCCCCATGCGACAGGTTCACATCATCCGAGTTCACGATCCAAATGCGGGCAGCAATGCTTTTTTCTATGGCAGCTGTTGCCTCAAGAGGATCGTGATCTTCGATACCCTGTTGCTGAACAAAGGCCAAAGAGATTTATCGAATCTGGAGCCCGAGGAGGTCGGCAAAGGGCTGTCGGACACCCAGGTAACCGCTGTGGTGGCTCACGAACTGGGTCACTGGAGGCACGGCCACTTTTACAAGGCCCTCGTAACGTTCCAGCTGCACCTGGCACTTACCATCTTGCTGTTTGCCTTGGTTTTTCCCCGCGGACCCATCTACCAGGCTGTGGGATTCGAACCGGACTTGCAGCCCATCATCGTGGGATTCCTAATCATCTTCGGTTTCGTAATGACGCCCTACATGACCTTGATCAACTTCGGTATGCTGAGCATGACCCGCTGCTTCGAGTACCAAGCGGATAGGTATGCCTTCGGACTGGGATACGGACCGGATCTGCGCCTGGCGCTGCTCAAGCTGTATGCGGATAACCTGGCGTTTCCCGTATCGGACCGCTGTTACTCCCAGTGGCATCACACCCACCCCACCATGCTGGAGCGCCTGGATCGGCTCAGCAGCCTCTAAAGACTGTGAGTAGTTCGGCTCCCTTCTCTCCGTTTTCGAACATGGTTGGCTCTGGTCGAAAAGTACCTGTATCGCCTATAAAATATATAAACATTTTTTGAACACTACGGACTGCTCTTCTTGTTTGAGGGGGAACATGCTAAGTTTTAATGGCATTCTACGACACTTGGCCGAAGGTAGACCCTCTGATTATACTAATCATTCTGTGTCTGATCGTGGTAGTTGACCGCGTTTGGGAGATGATAATTACCAAGAGACAGGTAAGCTAGGAGGACACCCTCAATGAACCGATCACTGGAATCTCTCTCTTTGATTGCAGCAACTGGTGTGCATGAATGCGGTGATGGTGCCGGAGGAGCTACGGGGCGTCATTCCCCCGGAGATATATTATCGGGCGCGCATCTATGAGCTGCACAAAACGGAGCTGGTGATCTGGAAGCATTTTATTGATTTGATCATCACACTGCTCGAGCTGTGCCTGGGCTTCTATCCCTTCCTCTGGGGCCTGGCCGCCATGACGCTGAAGCCACTCACCTCAGCGGAGATCTGGGTGAGCCTGATCTTCGTCTTCTATCTGACCATCTACATCTGTCTGCGGTTCCTGCCCGTGCTCATCTACGACAAGTGTCTGCTGGAGTTGCGCTATGGCCTAGCGGGCAGATTTCCGTGGTACCTCTACCTATGCGTGGGCATTCTGGCCATTATCCTAAGCCAGCTCATTCTGCTCCCTGTGACGGCGGCCATCGTGTTTAGCGTTCAGATACTTGGATTCTTCTTTTTCCTATGGTTCTGGCTCTTCTGGGCCGTGTTTACCCTGCTGATGGTCTTCTTCCTACCCTACTGCTGCATTCCGTGCATCGGAAGGCAGGTAGTCCTCCCAGAGGGCACTGCTCTTCACGCGGAGGTGAAGCGCGTCTGCGATTGGGTTGGCTTCCCCATGAACCGGGTGTTCATCATCCGGACCAGGTCGATGCAGTACAGCAATGCCTACTTCTATGGGAGCTGCTGCCTAAAGAGGATCGTGATCTTTGATACCCTGCTTCTGAACAAAGGAAAGGACCCGAGTGAGCTGGCTCCATATGAGGTAGGCCGAGGTCTGACCAACGTCCAGGTGGCGGGCGTGGTGTGCCACGAGCTGGGCCACTGGAAGCACGGCCACTTCTACAAGGCCACGATAATAATGAAGCTGCACTTCTTGATCACCATGGCTCTCTTCGGATTGTTTTTCCATTGTCCTCAGCTGTACGAGGCGGTGGGCTTTGAAGCCGGACTCTGTCCCATCATCGTTGGCTTCATCATAGTCCTGAGATTCGCCCTTACTCCGTACCTCACCCTGGCCAATGTGCTGATGCTGTGGAATCTACGGCGCTTTGAGTACGCTGCCGATCGCTTTGCCCACCGCATGGGATACTCCATCCAGCTAAGGATGGCCCTGGTCAAGATATATGCGGATCACATGAGCTTCCCGGTGTACGACAAATGCTACGCCGTGTGGCATCACACACATCCCACGATCCTCGAAAGATTGGAATATCAGCAGAAGCTGGATGCAAGGGCCATTCGGGACTTGCAGAGGAACGCTTAGCACCCTGGAGTCACACTAAACACTCAGTAGTCCGCGACAGTTGCGTCGTTATTTGATTTTTGTCCATATTTCTGTCAGTTTCTCGATATTTCCTGTCAAATTGCCCGTATGACTAGCACACAAATTGCCACGACCTGCTGCAGGCCTATTACCAAATTGGTGGTCAGCATCGGCAGCGGGTGAGTTAAGAATGTCCCTTTGAAGCGTTTTTTTAAGTGATCCCTCTTTTATACTCAGTCTCGGTTAGGCTTTGACTTCAATAAAATTGTAATTGTAGGTCAGAAATGGCATCTATTTTTTATTTTCTATGATTTTATTAAAGTAAAAATAGAATGATTCCATTTTTTACAACTCATCATCCCTCAGCGAGACCCATATTATTTATGCAGATGACTCTGCTCGCTCTTTCTGCACGAACCCCTCCTGGTGTACCTTTCGTGGTGGATTAATGGATCTCAGCTTGAGGAGTGAACCCGCAGGCAAAGATTATTTCAAGGAAACCACGGCCTTCTTGGAGAGACATTTCGGAAGAAAGCCGACTGTGAGGGCCTCCCAGGCCAGCCAGCAGCGCCTTGTGTCGTTGCAGTTGAATGCCTTGGAGGCTCACAGTGATGGTAATGTAGAGGAGGAGGAGAAGAAGGAGCGGATCATCTGGCACAGCTGGCTCTTGGAGGAAGTGGAACTACCGCCCAGCCAAAGTGCGGCGGTTATAGAGTGGATAGCTCCCAGGACAGAATCTCTAAAGATTTCCCATCGTTCCTGGCACTTGCAGAACTGCATGGCCTGGCGCCTGATTGTAAGCCACAAGAATGAACTGGCCAAGTGGTAAGTGGATGCTACCATGATTCCTTTACGTTTAAATTATATAATTAATCCCCTTAAGCTACTGCCAGCGCATCAAACGATTCATGGACAAGGTCAACACTCTTGTCGACCTGGAAATGGAGCTGGATGAGTCCGCTGCGAATCTTACATCTCAGGTTCCCAGGTTGACCGAGAATGTATTGACCGCCACCGATGTGCTGAAGAAGCTGAACGAGCTTCTGGACCTCCAGGAGAAACGCAACCGACGTTACAAGCGCCAGTTGAAAGGCGAAATTTGAATGAATGCTCGCGATGGGTGTGCTGACCCCTTGATTTTTGCATAGATTGTATTTATTTATTATTAAAACATTTCTGTTGTATTCTCATAGTATTTAGACATGTATCCATATAGATATTCGATATTTGCTTGTATATAGAGAAAGTCCGTTTCGAAGCTTTACATGCAAGTGTTTTCTGAACAATATCTTAGGATTAGCATAAGTACCATATAGAGTTGTATCGTAATTAGTTAATGTATAAGTTAAGTTGGCATTTTGTTGCATATCCGGGTTACTAGCCGGGTTTCATTTTTAAAACTGATTGAAATATGTATGTATTTCTCCAACTTGCTATTATTCAAAGCTATAGGACGACTTGTGCCATTCGGATCTCTGCTTAACCTATTTCATATTGAAATTTTAAAAATGAACCCCTGGGCGAATTCCGTTCGAAGGTTGTACCAATTTCCTTGTCTTGGCTTTAAAGCTTAATGTTATTAGTTTGGGTTTGAAAATATATAGAGTAATAGCCTTGGAAAGTGGGGTCAAAGAGGGAGAGGGTTCAACCAAGTGGCGTAAGTTTTTATATATATAGCTATAGCACCTTGAAAAAACATTGGATAGTTCGTGGCTTCGTAGGTTAACTTGAAGTTTTCGCTTAAATTTAGTTTGCGATTATTGGCCTAAGCAGGTAACTCAAATGGAAATGTAGCCAGCTGCTCGGAATCTGCGACTCGTAATCCATTCCATTCCCATTCTCGTCACTCGAAGCGGCGACAAGGACGAGTGTCGTTGTCGTCCTCCGGCGGCATGTCCCCTTCCCCTGCATGACAGTGTCACATTCAGGTGGGCGATGCATTAGTGGCGTCCTCCCTTCAGGCTGTTGCTGCAAGTGGCCCTTGATTGATTGATTGATTGATGTTGGCGGCATGTGGGGTGTACATATAGTATAGTAGTATATATGTGGTTACCCACGCCCAGAATCGGTTGGAAATTGAGGCTTGGCAAGGGATACGCGTTACATTGGCCGAGTTAAAAGATACTTTCACAATTATTAACAACAATTATCTACAGATTGTAGCCACATACATATATGTTTATGTTTATACTGCGTACTTTATACTTATATAATCGCAAATAACGCTTGACGACCGACTCATCCGTGTCCTTAAATATAGCTACTTTTATTTCAAGTATTTTAATCGGTAATTAAATAAAGTACTTTATGCAAATACACATAGAAAATATAAATACATATATATATACTCGTAATATAATAATATAAAATCGATGTACTGATCTTGATGTTATCATTTCCTAATTGTTTACTTTAAGTGGCTCGATTCAGTGTTGCAAATTGTTTCTTTGATTAGATAAATCTCCGCTTTTGCTTTTTGTTTCGGTTTGACTTGGGGGGAAATATATACTCTCAACAGGCTTAACGTACGATAAACATTTATTTAAGATTGAAACATTTATTTTATATTTATTTTTACCAATTAGCTTCTTTTTGCTTCGGGTAGGATCGCAGGATCCACCTCCGAAGCCAAAATCTTCATCATTGCTGCCCTATTTGGATGCAGTTCTAAAGTAAACAATTGCCTCGATGCCCACTATGGCCTCGCCCCTGGATTTACCTCGCTTTTCTTGTGTTTTTCTTTTTGGTTGACAAAAATAGAGTCGCCTAAAATCTCTCTGATTGGGTTTTATTCTCGAGGGGGGCTTACTCCTCCTCGTCTGGCGACATTTTGGCCAGTGTCAGCAGGATCATGGTCAGCTCCTTGCGCGAAATCTTGCCATGCTTGTCGGTGCCCACTCCTCGCATGATGGTCTCCTCAAAGGCAGCCAGATCCTGGGCATCGTAGTCGTCCTAATTACACAAAATATAAATCCATAAATATAGTTTAAATATGGTTTTATTTAAAGTTGAGAACGCACCTTCTTGACCAGCTCTAGGAGATCCTTAAGGAAGCCTTTGAGTTCCTCGTTTTCAATGGTTCCACTGTTGTCCTGCAGAAATGATAAAAGGTTATCAATTAGTAAATCTATAATATATATATATTTTATTTCGTTATTTTTTAACTTACCCGATCGTAGAGCGAAAAGACCTTTTCTATATCTTCTTTGGTCAACTTTGTGGCGCCCTGTGGAAAGATTTAAATAATTACTCACTAATACTATATCTTACATTAAGAATATTCAAATACATCTTTAACATATAGGTTTATTTATATGTATTCTTCACAATTTAGACTGAGCATACTTTTTAACTTTTTAGAATAATTAATAAATTAAAAGAATCAACGATTGTAGGAACTTGCTTTTTTAAGTTAAAATTAAATATTAAATTACATTTCTTTTAAATTTCTCTCAAATAATATATATTTATGTTTATTTAAAGTATGCCAAGTCTATAATAATACAGCTCAAAGATGTGTGATAAATCATAGCATACTTTTCAGATACTATAATTATCCAGCAACTGCTTTAAAGTATTCTTTAGGAATGGCGTATTCGTTTTCCCCTATAAACTAGACTAAACTACTATACCATGGCGTGTCTGTTTAAGTGCGATTTTTGATTGGTTTTTTTGTTTAAATGCAAAGCGCTCTTAACGCATGACATCATGCTAAATGCTGGCAATGGTAATAAAAGCATGCTTTTTTCTTTCAGGGAAATTAAGGCAAACGACAAATCCATGCCACTGGAGGGGAATTAGTATATGTTTATGGTAACAAAAAAGGCATTCCATTTTCACACTCATTTGTTATGCTTACGAAGTATACTTAAAGGCTAATTAAGCTGAAAGAAACACACTGCCAATTATGCGGGTATGTGTAAGTGTGTGTTATGCCTTTGACATCCGCTAATTAATATGAATTATGGCCCAGGTAAAGCAGATTTGTCTTTGGCATTCCACCACCCCGCTCTCTTGGGAAACGCTTTGTTTTTTTTCCGGGGGAAACACAAAATTTATCGATTCCATTTGCACCCAGCAGCGAATTGCTCGCATTATTTTCCCCTGTATGTAAGCCCCGAAAAGCATGCACACACAAGGACGAGCTTGTTGTTTTTTTTTTTGGAGGTTTTGCAGCATGGCCAAGGTGGCGCCTCAAGTTCAAAGTTTACAGGAGCTGCTGCGGGGAAAAGTGCATACTAGCAAAAGCAGAAAAGGTTTTTGAAATACTCTATTTTTGTTCTTTAAAATCTTATATTTTATAGTAAAAACTAGAAAGTAAATTTAAAGTATTCTTTTTTATGCATGGTTTTCCTAGTTAACTAGTAACTCAATCAATTTATAATGTTAAATTTAATATGTAACAATTTTATATATTTATTTCCTATAAAAAGGTTAATCTTTCTGTTGCAAGAACTCATTTTCCTGCAGTGACTGTACCCTAGAGGCCCTAGAGCGGAAAGCTGCTAGGTGGAAGTGAACTTTTTGCTTATCCGTTATCCTTGCGAAAGTCCTGATAACATTTGTTTTACTGGCGCCATGAAAACGCATTTTGGGGCATTCTTTGTGCGTTCTTAACGGGATTAGAAACCCATTAAGTGGCAACCCTTTTTCCGCCTCAAGCTCCCCCACAAAAAAGAAAAATATGTTTAACCGGGCATTATAAGAATTTGAACGCGAAAAGCTCTTTAAATTGAATTTTGCACATGTGTTGGCATTTTCTGAATGCCTTCTTTTTTCGCTCTTTGTCAAATGTCTCTTACTTGCGACTTAAGTTAAGTATTGCGCCTTGAACGTGATGCTGCCGTTGCGTCGCCCCAAACACATTGATAGAATGAAGTAATTATTTTACACTTCAACACTTTGAAATGTCGGTGGGGCGGCGGCGGCGTGCCTGCCTGCGGCTGTCATTATCCATATGGCAGTGCCACAAAATATATGTATGTATATCCCTACTCCTGCAGCACACATTCCTTCCTGCTCGCTCAATGACTAAATTATGCAAAAGGTTCCCAAGGAGCAGGAGGTGGATTCCACATCAACGTGTAATTTGTGTGAACCTCACATCGTTAAGGCCAAAGCTGTTCACGTACTCGGGCCAGGGGATGTGTTAAGTGGGAGAGCGGGGGTGGGTGGACCAATGCCATCAAAAGTCTAATTAGTAGCTCGTAGCTATCATTCCCCTTGGCGAGAATTGCCCTGTGGCCGAAAAGGTCCTAGACGAAGGACCCTAAAAATGGTTGGATTGCAAATTACTCAAACTTTAACGGCCCGAAAGTTGGGTTCCTTATCGCTAATAAGCAGTAAGCTTTTATTAATTACGGATAAGAGAACGAATGAAATATATAATAGTTTTGTTTTGTATAATTAAAGCAAAAACCTCAAGGGTTAAAGGCTGACAGAACGGAACTTCCTTTTAAACTAAATATTTACAAAAGAAGAATAGCATTAATTATTTGTATTATAATTATAATGACAACATATTTCAATCACATAAAAATATTATTATTTTCTACTTGTCAAAATGCAATTTCTTTGGAAAGAAAAGCGCTTTCATTCATACTGCATTTCGCAAAATGTTTACTCAAAAAGAAAATAAAGAAAATTTTCCATGCCTTATTCATGCAATTTTGTTTTTGTGTCCATAAACAAGAAGACTATTTCAAGCCAATTCAAAGCACTTAAGTGTTTTTTGTGTCTATTTTATTGTTGTCTGAAAAATATGGGAAAGCATGCTCACTACAAAAAACCATAATCAATAGAAATTCCTCGAGTGTTCAATAAAAAAAAAAAATTGTTTAAACAAGAATTACCCAACGTACGAAATGATAGAATTTTATTGAGAGTTTTAATGGGCCACCAGTGTCTATAATTTTTATTTTTTTCCCAATGATTGAATTTTCAGAGAGGTACTTTTCTTTGTTTCTCGTTTTTTTTAACACATGGTGATTGGGTGGAAAATAAATACTTACATCAATGCCCTCCTTTTAGTGTGTGGTTTTTATATATATATATTTTATGTTAGTTATATTAGTTTATTGGTTTTTTGGTTTTTGCAGGAATGCAAGTAGTTTGTGTATTGTTTTTTGAAATATTTTTGTTTGTTTGTTTTCATTGTTTGGCAGTGCAATTGTTTGCAGATTGTTTGTTGCATGTATATGTATATGCAGAATTTTGTATATACAAATAGTTTTGATTTGCGGCAATTGTTTGGTTATTTCAAAGTTGATTCTCGAATTGCATTTGGTTGTGAGATAAGTCGGAAGTTATAGGTGGGCAGCCCAAAATGTTTTACACGACGTGCACAGTATAATTTAATTTGATTTGTTATTTGTTGTTTGATTATCATTATGTTGTTGATTTTGAAATAAAAATGCACAAGATTATAGGAAGAATATGCAAAGATATATAGTATTTTGTTTTATAGATACAGATGTAGAGTTGGTTAGGCATAGAGAGGAGTAGTTGGCGGGGGGGAAACGAAAAAGATATAAATATATAGAAAGTTAGAGAAAATAAATAGTTTGTTTAATGGCTATCAAGGCGGGCAAACTTTGGATTTCCATTTGCCAGCCTTGACAAGCTTATTAATAAATATTTTGTTTAAAGCTAAGTTTTAGTTATGGTTTTTAGTAAGCTAGGAGATCTAAGATCTGGATGCAGCAAAAACTAAAAGTGAGAAATATCAAGTATACGCTTAGTTGAACTCGAACTAGTCATACGCATTACCAATTAGAGAGCAAAAGATTCTCGCAGCTTGCAGTCTTTTCAGCTTTTGTATTTAATCGCGCTAAAATTGTTAACTAATTGCAAGTAGTTTTTTTAAGGAAAATATATGAAAATCGAACTGAAAAAAATTGTCTGTGCCGAGGGAGGGTCACGTTTTCACTTAGCCTCACGATTTGTTTGGATTTTGTTTATTTTGCCACACATAAAATTGTGGGGACATTGAAAACCTATTCTCTACAGAGGAATTGGGCATGTTGGGATTCTGGGAGAGCTTCATAGACACTTAATGGGTCTTAAAACCTGTCAAAAGGTTCTAAGACTATTTAAAATCACTTTATTTTCTCTCTTTAATTAAATAGTTATTTTGAATAATTAATTATAAAGAGTATTACAAGTCTTTGTGAAGCCTTAATTAATTTCTATTCAATATTTCCTCCAAGGACTCTTTCCAGTCCCATCATTTTCCCCTGCCATTTATCTTATGTATTTTCTAGAGTGTCCACGTCTACACCTTGTATATTCCCATTCCCATTACCCATTCCCATTCAACTTTTGGGCTGCCCAACTCGTTCCTGTTGCCGTTGCAGCACATTATGTCACTGCTCGTTGCGGTGCATGCGGCGAATACGTGATGTGCATTAGCATAACACTTTCTGCCACTTTTGGCCACCAGCCAGCAATACAGTGTGCCACATAATTGGACGCCCGGAGACAGAAGTTCCTGTCAGAGTTCACGGCTAAAATGGGTGTCCTGCAGGTGCTGGCTAAAAGCCCCTTGCAAAATACTGCATATATCTTCGTCTCCTTCCCTGTCGTCGTCCCGCTGCGGTTATCAAAATGCTGATGCATGCCTCGGCTTTTATGGCCGGCTCTGCTCTGCGGTACTAAGAAATTATATTAAAGTAATAACTGCACCTTGGGTAAATGTGCTGGAAACGCCTATTTTATGGCTGCCTGAGCTTCGGCTGCCTGCTTTTTATGGCACTTCATAACGGCCGACTTACGCGGCATAAGGATATATATATACATATAAACGCATATCGGCGATGGTCAGGTGCTGTTCGTTCCTCTTGCGGCGGCATTAGGGCTCACTGGCTTGGAACTGAGAGGGACATCATGGACGGCAACCTGGGAGTTTTCGATTAAAATCCATCGCCTTCGCTCGTTCGCTGGCTACATTGTTATGCATGACTCCTGACTTATTCCTGGACCCGCTCCTTCGCATCCTGCGCATCAATAAAACCCAAATAAAATGTCGCTTGTGCTGCGAGCTGTAACAATGAGCAAATGTGCGGCATGCAAGTCCTGAACGAGCATTGTTCAGTGTGCATTGCTGCGGCTGCTTCTCCCTTTTGCGCTTGGCTGCCCGGACGGAAGGCCGGGACGTTGGCTGTCGGATGCCTCGCTGAGTGCACATGGCCACATCTCAACATTGCTCATGTGTCGGCCACCGAAAAGGCTACAAATTTATTACAAAATATCTCATTTGAAAGCAAAACAGAGATGCTGCTTTCGTCAGGGGAATTTGAGTGGGTATTAGTTGGGAATTTATGTTTATATCAGACTTTGTGGCAAGTATTTGTATTTTAAATAATTTATAATATTTTATAAATAGTTGTAAAAGGAAGCAATGCAGGAAATATGCATATATTAAGCCTTCAGTATTTGGCTTAGTTCCAAATTCGAACCTCGATTTAAAATCCTATTATTCCCAAAGCTAAAAATGAGCTGATAGTTTAAGGCTCAATAATAAATACACACAATGCCTACATATATACTTTCAAAATGTGTATGGTGAAAGTGACACCACTTCTTGTTTGGCTTTTCAGGTGCTCTAAATTCAGTAGAGCAGGAAAATATACAAAGCCAATAAAATAATTACCGGGAAAATAGTATAATTAAACAAGAAAAAGGTGTTATTTGTGGTGTTTGGGCACATCTGTCGAATTTCCATTTAGTTTAGCACGCAACTGTGAACGTGGGAGTGAAAACGAAAGCCATCCCGGCCATCAAAGTGATTTAGTGCAATGAGAATCCAATTGCAATTGGAAGCCAAGCCGACACAAAGTGAGTACGGCTTGAATGAAACACTTTTGATTCTCTTCACCACTGTTCCTTTCCTTCCCGAAATCGCCCTCAAATTTCCATCGAATTTTCCGGCAACACCGACAACCGACTACAAGCGCTGCCAATGAGCAATGAGCGTCAATGCGACTGGAGCACGTACATTTGCAGCAAATAACAATAAGAGCTCTCAATGGCAGCAGCAGCAGCAGCAGCAGCAGCAACATTACCCCCATCAGACCCAGTTTTCTGTGGATCTAACCCACTTGATTGCCAAGAACGGAGGTGGTTTTTCTTTGCTGTTCCACATCTACGGTACACATGTGGGGGATCTAGCTGTGCATGTGGCTGTGGTTGTGGCTGGGAATGTGGTGGTTCATGTGGCAAACAGCAAAAAGGAAATCCAAACACGAGGACGAACATGGAAGGAAAAAGAGTTCGCCTCGAGGCGTGCGAAACGCGATTCGCAAAGTTTGGTAAGGGGCTGGCTCAGCAAATTTGGGAGTTTTCAAAGCCAAAAAAGGAGCAACATTTATTTCATTCGTTTCCCTAATACGTTGTACATATTATATATTGAACGAGTAGAGTTGAACTCTGGTAACTTGAAGGAAATGCTGATAAAGAAGTGCCTAAGAACAGGAAGAAATTTCTTAGTTTGTATATCTCTTAAAGAGTCTAGGAATTTTCATAACTAAAGTTTAATTAGGTTTGATATTATGTAATTTTGGCCCTATAATTTTAAACAAATATAAATTGCTTTCACTTTACCTTTAAATTTCTTGTGGAATGTAGCCATATTTCACTCTCCCCTAATATATATTTTATTCAAACCTTTTTCCCCTAGATTTAAGCTTAATGTTGCACAATTTATATCAATCTCGGGCCTGCATAAATTGACCAAAGTTATTTTTTTGTTCCTAGAGAGACTTTTTGCCAGCAGCTGGGGCTCAGAGTAAATAAAAGAAATTCTTGTTGTTTTGGTCTGGGGCGGAGACGGAGATGTCTTGCCAAAAAGAATGCCGCTTGCTGAACACGCTTAAAATGCGAGAGCGCAAGACACACTCGAATTGTATATAGTACAGTCAAGTTTTGGCCTGTGGCAAGTTACGTGACACTCGGTGGCAGTTGCGGAGGCTGGTTCAAATGCAACGACAGCTTCCCGGCCAAGCGACAGAGCTTCATTCATTTAACCGCATTTGGCATCATCAGCATTTTGACCAAGTTGAAATGAGTTCGCTGAAATTCGCAGGGAATTTTAAATGTCCTCCTCCTGTCTCTGCCGCTGCCGGAGAAGCAGATGTTCTCCAAGCCCAAGGCCCAAAAATTTTGTTTTTCCCGACACCACATGGCTTTTCTTTTTGCTAATTGCCGAGGGAATCTGTCTGAGGCAAAAACTAATATTAAAGTATTTAATGGCCGGCCATTTGGGGACTTTCCACCTTCTGTTTATGCAGTGGTTGCTGTTTTTGGTCTCTTTGTTTTTTTTTTACAACCCAATTCGATTCACATCAAATCTGTTGACGCTTGAACAACAAATACACGGTTAAAAACAACAGATGGAATTCATTTATAACAAATTTATAGAGTTTAGGCTACTTTTTTAAAGGAAAGTTAACATTTCTTGACCAGATTAACTGTTAGTAAAAGGAATGAGCTTTTCAGTAACTTTAAATTAAAACTAAACTTATTTTTAATAACTTGTTTGCTGTTCAAAGGACCAAAAACAATAAAAGTTATTGAGATAAAAAAGATTTGTGCCAGAATAGAAAAGCATCTGTTTGCGGAAATGGATGCCCAAAGCTGTTACGCATTTTATTCTCGCGAAAAAACTGTCAAAAAAGGGGGTGAAAGTGATAGCACCTGGACATTTTAGCTGAGCTTTGTCGCTTTCGCCTCGTTTATTTTTTACGATTGCAGACAATATTTTGCCTTTTTCGGCGAAACAGCTACTTCTGCGTTTTGGCCATGGCTTTATTTGTTGTGACACAGCGAGAATTGGCTGAAGACTTGGGGGAGGGTCGAAATCCGTTTATACTTCGCTTGGTAATATATTTTTTTTATGGCCACAACTTTTCAATTCCTATGTTGCACTCTCTCAGTGCGGAATTTGTTGTGAAAATCTAGGGAAAAGTCAAGAGGGGAAATAAATAGTGGCATTGTATTTTAGAAATGCTGTATTTTCGGATTTGTCAAGCGAAAATAAAAAGCTCTCAGACGGCACACAGCAGTTCCGAATGAAGAAAGCTGAAAAAGTTGAGGAATCTATTCAAAGTCAATTGTGGCATTTTGAGAGGAATAAAAAATGATACTGGAAAGATTTAGGTGCTCAGATTTTCTAAAAGGAATGTGGGAAGTGACCCTCTTGTTTTTGGAAAGTAAACTTTGAAAAGTACTATTTTTCTTGAAAAACTAGTTGGTTTTCTAATAATAATTACTACATTTTACAATGTAATGTAATCTTTACACAAATTCTACTAAGACTTTAATTAAATCAAAACTAAACTTTAAAATCCCTGCATTTCATACTTAAGACTAGTTTCCCCCAAGTCGGCACAGACATTGCTTAAAAACAATTAAAACATACAAAGAACATAAATAAATTAAAATGAAATTGCATTGCTTAATTGAGTTTGTGGCAAAAGCTAAGTTAGTTTAGGTAGTCCAGGCTGCAGCTAGTAGAGTGACGAACAAAAAATCAAGGCTAACCTAGGTGCTAAACGTGTTTTGTTTGTCAATGGCAAGCCGAGTCTGTTCTTAAACTACAAGTACAAGATCTTCTTTCTTTTTTTTTAAAGCGCGCCGCCAAGTACACGATATTATATGGCGATACTATCTGGTCGCGGCAATTTCCTCGATTGAACGATGCTTTCTGGCTTGACTGTCATATCGCTTGGCACTTACCTTAAACACCTGACGGCAAAGGAAGTTCTCTTTAACCGGAAGCAATCTGCAATAAATAAGTTAGCTTGCTGGCTGCTCTCACTTGGGCTTGGGCCTCTCTTTCAAGGACACTTACTTGGCCATTTCCGACAGCTGCAAACGTCCGTCCTTGTTGGCATCGAATACTTGGAGCTGGAAAGCGAGAAGTCAACGAGTGGTTGGGCATACATTATCGGATAGGTAAACAGAGGAATTGAATTATTTAAACTATTGTGTGTCAAATGGCATATAAACAGGAATTGCTTATTGATGGAGGATTTGAGTTTGACTTTTGACATGACGGCAGCAGAGGTTCATGATTTATTACAAGATCTCTGGGGATTTTGAAATGTTTAAATTGATTTTGTATTGGAATTCATAGCTTATTAATCCTTACAATCTTTAATAAGTAAAGTAATGTATTTCGATTTATTCTCTATCCAACTTACCATGGTATCGGTGTACTCAATGAGCTTATCCTCGGACACATCATTGATCTTTTTGGCCTCTTTGAGCAAATCGCGCAAGAAATTCTTCAGCTCATCCGCCTCAATGTAACCCGAGTTGTCAGTGTCGTATTCACGCCAGATCTAATTCAATTTCAAGTGAGCAAAAGGGATTGCAAATTAATTGAGGAATTCACCCATAAAATTCCTGATTGTCACACCTACCTTCATGAATTCAACGCTCGACTCCAGTGGATTATCGAAGCGGAAGAGCAAAAGGAAATTCTCCTCCATGGGCAAAAGTTGAGCCAGCTGCAAGAAATAGTTGTTGAAAGGTGGCAGAAAAAAATACCTTTTGTTTTAATGCGTGACTTGACAATGAAATAAGTTATAAATAGGCGTGAACAAGGGGACCTGTGTTCCATGTACAGTGTCCTGTTTTCTGGTTAAAACTTCTACAAATGCATCGCGTGAAAGCCAAGGAAATCTTGTTTGCGGCCTTGCCTGGCCCGCAGCTACTGCACTTTCATTAGGGGGAAAAGCTGTAAAAGTTTTGTCTCAGCCATTCGTTAAAACTTTCCGGCATAATTTAAGTGTCGAATCGAGGCTCCTTTTTCGCCAATTTACCCTTGCCGCCCCACCCTAATGTAATCAGCAAATAGTTGTGGGCGGGAAAACTTTTTAATTCGCTCTTTGGCGAATTTGCATCTCTGTGTGCAGCTGGTAATTAATGCACAATTGCAATTAAAGTTTATCTTCCGGCCAATCCCATGTTGACAAGCCATCAGGCGCCATCAGCCGTGGCTGATTATCAGGTAAACAGCGAAATTCAACCCCAAAGTCAGTTCAATCGATGGCTCAACGTGGCGTATGAGCGATGTCTGCCGCACACATAAATTATGAATGCCAATGTATACACGAGTGTGTGTACGCAAGGCAAACCGTAATCAACAGTCCATGGGGCCTCGGCAACTTGAACTATTCACTTTCCTCCGCCAAGTTTTCTTTTTTTTTTTGGGTGTGTGCTCATTTATCAAAAGTCCATTGTGAGAAGCCGCCCACCAAGTGGGCTTTATTATTATTATTTCTACTTTCTGCCATTCAAACCGTACAGAGAAATCTCCTTTCAATAGTCCGTGCCGCTGCTGCTGCTGCTGCTGCTGGTCCAACTTCAATTAAAAACTCATTTAATGTGGAATGAGCGAGGGTAAACTTTCTCTTGGGCAGCAGCGGGACCTTGCCAGAAAGTTTATTTTTTCTCTCGGGGAAAGAGGGAAAGCGCCAAATAATTTATTGAGGCCCCGGCGGAATGGGAACGGACTGAGACATTTAAAAACCAATTTGAAAAAGGAAAACGGAGACTGAGTCGTTGGCGTCGCCGTCTCAAGGAAATGTCATTTCGTATACAAAAGCCATACAGACAACATTGCGCATACGACATGGTGGCCCGGCGAAGCCATCAAACCGAAATTTGTGTTTAAATGTGCGGTCAATTTCTGGGGTCTGAACGTACAACCATCTCATGGGGCTAATGCCACACATCGGTATATACTAATACCCACCTCTCTGATATCGATTTTGCCATCCTGATTGTCGTCATAGGCCTCCATGAAGCAGGACTTGAGCTCCTCGAGCATGGTGTCCGTGACAGCCTTGGGGGAGTTGAGAGCATTAAGATTAAGGATGCAGTGGATCGGGTTATATGTGTGGACAATGGTCTTACCTCCGGGCTAATGTCTGTGGCATTGGCACTCGACACAAACTCCCGCAGAAAGCCGTCCAGCTCGGTGCCCTCAATGTAGCCATTGCCTAAGATGGAGCGAGAAAGTGTTCACTTATTAGAATAATATTTCTGGTAATAATAGTGCCAAATTACAATGTCTTTGCATAAGTATTATAGCCTCAAACTGTCTAGAGCTTTAGATCTCAAGTGTTTCCTTTGGACAGTCGCCAAAAGTAGGCAATGAATATTTCTGGTAAGCCAAAAAGTAGACAGTGATTTAAGGACACTAATATTATTTTAAGAAGCAAGGATTTTTCTCTGTTTTGTCTGTGTAATTTTATTGAAAAATAATATCAATAACTACCAGCTCCTCCTCCACTCACCATCCTTGTCGTAATGGGCCCAGACATCCATGAACTGGTTGGCCGACAGCTTCTTGAGCTCCCTGGACTCGGGATCACGGTACTGCCTCATAAAGTTGTGGGCCTTCTCGATCTGAACGCGCTTGGCGGCGGCTGCTGCGGCTGCTGAATCCATTTCTGTTCTTATTTGGGTTTATTTGTCCTCGTTGGGTCAATTATCTGGAGGGATGAGATGCAAGGAATACAACAATTAATTTGCGGCCATTAAATGCCGTGCTCGGTGTTGTCTGGGGAAAAGCCAGTTGTCAGCGCGCAGCTGAAACTGTCAAATTAATAGCATAAAATAGAAACACCCATGGAACCGCCTCCCTGCCTCGCACGTAGTACATGAGAAATGGCCGCTGCGGGAGTCGCACTGCGCCAAAACACCGCTGCATTCTGGTGGGGGATGGGATTCCCCGCGGCTGAAATGAGACAGGACGTCACCTCCATGCGGCCCCCATGTGACCCCCTGTCCGCCGCCCCTGTCACAAGTCATTGTGAGTTAAATACGCCAGCGGAAAAAAGAATAAAGAAAAAAGAAAAAAGAAAGCAAGGGAAATGTAAACAAAATTGCTGTACAAGGAGCGTCTGCAGTTGCCTTTGCCTGGCGGGGGTGGCGCTAAAAATACGAAGAAAAGCCCTGGGTTTAGCGGAGGACTTGTGCCTGATGTACGGCGGAAAAGCAAAAAGGAACTGCGGTTAAAAAGGGAGCACTTAAAAAAATAAATTAACCTCCAGCTGCTGCCACGCACAAACGCAATCTAGTTCACACGATTTTCTAAATAAACTAGGAGGCCCTAAGCGTGAATCTTAATCTCCCGGGAACACATTTTTGTACGAGGGTTAAGGAAATAAATTAAGAAGGGAAAAGCCATTGCTTTGCATAACAAAATATATTCTTTAAAGTTTAAACAAATTAGGGAAAAATTAAACAAAAGAACAAAGAAAGTTTTATTAAATATTATGGCATTTCAAACATATTAAATAATAACAGAAACTCCCCACTTTTCCTTTGTCTGTATTTCTTTTTAGTTTCACACAATTTCAATTGCATACTTTCCGGCCTTACATTTATTGTTTTCAAATCTCTAGGGAATTCGGAAACGCAGCATATTAATTAAAAATTAATATTATATTATGCTAATATCTATGCTCGCCCGTTTTGAATTCCAATTTATTATCTTTCACCTTTGGGTTTTTCGTTTTAATTATGTGAACGCATAAATCCTTAAGCCTGGCGAAATGGCTAAAATATATGTATATTTAGGGTGCAAAACATTAATTTTAACCAAGAGCATATTAAAAAGCTTTTCTGTGGAAATTCCTCTGCAACTAAGCCCGGCTTAAAAGCGCTGTTCCGTTGCTTTGGATATCTGCGGCGGGAATCGTTGACAGTTTGTTGCGGTGTTGCGGTGGCCAAAAGCAGCGCTCAAAATTGCAAGTTTGTGAGCATAAATTCACAGCAGCTGTGGCACAATGCACACTGCCCTGGCACTAAGAAAATCTTCTCTAATTTGCATTTGAGGAACAGAGGATGCCAGTTATGGAAGTGCTTAAATTCAAAGAGGTTTTAATTAGTCTTTGGACAAGAAAAGAGGAATAAAGATTAAGCACCATAAATCTTTGATGACTTAATATTGCTTTCGTGAGCTAAGAAAAACTGCATTAAAAACTTGTAGTTAAAAGTTGAGGATTTGAAAAGAATATTTTAATGATTTTAAGTTTTTAGATTTAAGAAAATTGTGTAAAAATTTGGATTACAAATAGCTACATGGATAATGCAAAGACAACTTTTTTAAATATGAAACAGTAATGCAACCAACTAATTAATATTTCTAGTAATATCCTAGGTAGTTTTCCTTTTTAAATACAAATATAAAGCCCCTAAATTATAACTTAATCTCTTTATCAAGCCACTTCATTATCCCAAATTGCTGGCAATTTCCCAAAGACATTAAGCAGTGTGCAATAATCGCATTAGTTGGTCCCCAACTTGTTGACTGCGTTGTCGCTATTGTTTATCGAACTCGCTTGCCAATATTAACTTTTCATTTAATTTGCCGCGAAACTTTCCACATTGTTCCCAAGCTGAACACTTTAGGAACTTGTGTTATCTGCCGGCGAAACAAGTTGCTCGCATTAACCGGCTGCGTTGATGGTCATTACCTGCAAACGGTTTCGGGATACAGCAAACAAGAAAAAAAAGGCAAGAAAATATAAAGACTTTTTCTCGCTTTTCCTGTCCTGACATTTTATGGCCTGGAAATTGCATTACACCGAATGCAATAGCTTCAAGCCTCTTCAGCCTTTTGTTCTCGTACCCATTGTTGTCCTTGTTTTCGTTTTTCTTTTTTTTTTTTACTGGAGAGCTAGGAAGTCCCAGAACTGTATACGTACTATAGTTATACGATTATGGCGGAATGCCGGGCAAGAACTTTTGCAATCCCGAGTGCAATATGGCAAATACTCTTGGCCCGGCTCCAACTGCCAGCTAATGTTCCCCCGAGGGCCATTCAGGTTTAGGTTACGGCTTTAATATAAATTGTGTAATGAGCCGTAGATAAAGCGCCGGAGGTAACTGACCAATAAAAGAAAACACAGCCAACAAGGGATTTGCATATGAAACGGGGGAAAAAAATGTGCAAATTGAAAGTAGAGCAAAACTAAGGAGAAAAACAATTAAATTAAAGGTGTATTGAATGCCTAAAACTTTATAAAATTCAATTTAATGAAAGATAAATAAAAGCAAGACTAATAAATCAAAAGATTAAATCAAAACCTCAATTCAACCTCAAGAAACCAATAAGAAAAGTCATAATTTCACGTAATAACTGTTACCACAAATGCTACTTTCAAACTTTTTTGTGGCAAAGAAACTTTTTAACTGGCATTTCCAAATTGCTTTCTGAATATTCAATACGTTTTACTTGCGGCCAAAATAAATCAATAAAACAACAATAAAACATAAACCCAGAACAAAAAATTCCCACCACTTGATAAAAAGTTGTTTCAGCGAAAAACAGAAATAGCGCGGACTCCCCTAAAAAGGAAATAAAACCTGCTGCTGCTTCTGCTTGCCAAACTTGATATTTAAGTATTGAAATCAATAGGGAAATGCCTATTGAATGGCCAACATTTTCGGCTGAGTCAACGTCACTAATGGCCGCCTTGCATGGCAAAGAGCACAGGCGGAAAGGAGCCCTCGAGCCAAAAACGCAGATAAGGAAACCGAACTGTCAAGCCTCGTTGGCCGCATTGCATAAGCCGCGGCTTACACTCGATTCTCAGTGCCTACACAGAGAGAAAATTCAATTGATCGAGTTAAATTAAAATGATATTTCTAAAGAAAATTGATTATGGATTGATTAGTCAAGGATTAAGTCAAGATTTAAACCCAATCTTTCATTTATTTATAAAAGGGAAAAGTACTTGATTAATATTTAATTATTATAGTGGCTTTTTCTCTCAGTGCACTGCTCAGGACTCGCTCTCAGTTGCCTGCTTTTCTGGGCGCGTGTTCGAGTGCTCAGGAAAAGTCGGGTAGGAAAAGCAGAGAAAGCAAAACGCACGGCTTGCCACTGCTTACCTGTCAATGGGATCCGTCTCCCTGTCTGACACTGGCAGTGGCTCATGCTCACAGGTCTGAAAAGACATCACCCACCTGGCCATGGGGTAGAGACACCCTGCAGCTCCCCTTGCCTGTCTGTGGGCATGTCCTGCTGACTTTAAGTGCATTAAGCTCAGTTCGCAATTTAATTTAAGTGTTTTTCTGTTTATTTTCCGAGCTGTTCCGCATTTTCCCGCATTTTCCCCTTTTTCGCTTGCCTTTTCCCTTTCTATTTCCCTTTCCCCTTCCTTTTTCCTTCGCTTTCCAGGGTTTTCCTTCAGCTTGTTGCTGTCGTGTCTGTTATTATTTCTATTTTTAAACACTTTGGCCCAGGCTGCGGCTTTCAGCCAAGTCTGAATTATGCATTAGTGTTTGATTTGGCGGATACCTGTATGTAGTGTGTCTATATATAGCTTTAAAAAAAGCTTTACAAGGGGATTTATTGGAAGAATATATAAAATATAAGATATATTAAATCTTTGTTAGAGTTTTTCTTTAAGCTAAAGTTAGCTTATAAAATAAGGTATTTCCTGTTTCACATTCTATTCATAATCATTAATGATCTAATTTTATAACCCTCTAAAGAACCTCCTTTGCAATCACTGTATCCTTTAAGGACCTACTTTATGCCACTTCCCAAAAGGTAATAAAGTGTGAGAGCTAATAGAATCGTATCAATGTCCTAAATGCATCTAAAAATGCACTTAGGTAAAAGTTATCCAACTCCAAAGGGACATCCGCCTCCCCAGCCATTAGCTTTTGTGTAGAAGGAAATTTCCTGTTTACTACCTGACCATAATTTTTCAACTTTTAGTGCCACTGCCACTGCTGCTGCCACTGCACTTGGTATTCTGCCCTCGGCCCTCGGCCCTGAGTGAAACAGTTGTTAAACTAGAAGAGCATTTTCGTACAGCCAGGGGCATCTCTACCGCAACGTATAAATGTCAGCCAAAGTCATATTCATAAATAATAATATGGAAAACTCCCGCAAACACACGCTTTCACATTCTGACATTGAAACACGAGGCGGACCGAACAGAGACACTCAGAGCCGAAAGACAGACAAGACAGTCTGCAAAGAGTGTATTCAAGTGCAAAAGTCCTGAAGCTCGCTCACAAGAACTGCAGGGAGAATTGAAATAAATTACTGACTGACTGACTGGATGACACAGTGACTGACTGACTGACTGACTGACTAACTGACTGACTGAGTGTAGGTCTGTTGCCTGTTTGTGTGTCTGTTTGGGTTTTTTGTTTTGTACAGAAAACTCTGGCTTGTTGGAAACCCTCTGTGGCTGTCAGTTTTTAATTATACAAATTAATTTGCATATATTTTTTAGTTAATTAACTCAACTCTGACTTATTGTCAACTGAGAAGGGTTTATATAATGGACTAATATGCAAATAAAGACAGAATAAAACTGGGTTTTAAGGTTTTAAAAAGGGTTTCATTTACTAAACCAAGCAAATATTTGATATTGTATTTATTTAGCACTATCTTTCCTTTCTTTTAAATCAATAAATGTAGAAAATGTATACAGAATTCATTTTTAAGTTACTCATTAATTTC